TGTGCTCAACCAGTGACTTCAAGGTTGGCAGTTTGAGCCCACCCAATGGCGCCATGGAAGGCCCGGTAAACTGCCCCTGTAAAGATTGCAGCCCAGGAACTCCCAGGGAGCCGGTCACCCCATGAGGACCCCTATGTCATATGGGGGGGTCACCATGGGTCGGAACCTGTTTGACGGCAAGGGGTGCGGTTTGGGGACTGGGGGCAGTCGGTAGGGAGGCAGGTGTTGGAGGCAGCCGGGGGTCCTTGAACTGGACAGTGTGGCGAGGCCAAGGTCAGGGGTCAGCAGAAGGCCCTTGACCCTTGTTCTGAGTTTTCCTCGTCCCACATTCTCAGGACCCAGCGTGGAGAGAGAGGTGTCTGAGAGTGAGACCCTGGGCAAAGGTCACTGTGCTCGTTTCCAGTCATGAAAAGACTCCGCCCAGATGCCATGTTCCCGGTCCCTGGGCCACCTGGCTCCTAGAGGCTGTTTCAGTCTGCTTGCCCAGCTTGCTTCCCACAGCCCTCAGACGCTGTCCTGCTCTGGCTGGGAGGTGGTCTGAGGGGGTGAGGGGGTGCTTTCTGGGAACACCTTTCTCAGGTCCCTTCTCAGAGATACAGGATGTGGGACAAGGAGAGGGCCTGCCAGCTTCTGAGGGGAAAGATTACCAGGGAGGCTCAGGCAGCCTCGAACGGCCGTGCCCTCCTGGGCCGGCCCACTGCTCACTCGGACTCGGTTTCCTCAGAGGTTAAAAGCCCAGCAGCCCCAGCAGGCTCGTGCACAGTGAAGCCCAGGAGCAGAGAAGCTGAGCATGGGCAGTCGATGGTATCAGCACTTCCTGCAACTCAAGGAACAGGGAGGAGGTGTGGGGAGGAGGGGAGCACTGCGGCATCTGCTCGGCTGCCTGCCGTCTGGTGGACGCTTGGAACGGGCAGGTTGGGAGGAGCCCTCGGGTGGTTCCAATAGTGCACATGCTTGACTGCTGAACGGAGAAGTGGACACTGGAGTCTGCCTGGAGGTGCCTCACAGGAAAGACCTGGTGATCCACTTCCAAAGAAACCATCCACGGAGCACAGTTCCACTCTGAGAGGCATGGGAAT